CTACGAAATGAAGAAGGACCATCTAACTCACAGGGTCGCTATGAGAACTAAATGAAATTCACATGTGACCAAATAATTGGCCAAGCACTTCAGACAAGAACATCACAAGAAATGAAAACTGCACGCTGACATCCATGATGAATCTAGATTCAAAAATCCTCAACAAAATATTAGCAAACCAAATTCAACAATTCATCAAAAGGATCATACACCATGATCACATGGGATTTATTCAAGGGATGTAGGTACAGTTCAACACTCACAAATCAATGTGATATAACCACATTAACAAAATGAAGGATAAATATCATACAGTTATCTCAACACAAGCAGAAAAAGCTTTTGACAAAATTCAATATCCACTTATGGTTAAAAGAAAAAGCCTCTCAACAAAGTGGACATAGATGCAATGTACCTCAACATGATAAATACGACATATATGACACCAAACATATATAACATCATACTGAATGGTAAAAAGCTTAAAGCTTTTCCTCTAAGATCAGGAGCAAGACATAGATGCCCACTCTTGCCACTTTGATTCAGCATAGTACTGCAAGTCCAAACAGAAATAAAACAAAGGGCATTAAAATGTGATAGGAGGAAGTAAAACTATCACTATTTGCAAATAACATGATATTACATACAGAAAACACTAAAGAGTCAATCAAAAACAGAACTAATAAAGGAATTTGGTAAACTTGCATATATATAGAAATATATATGCAATATATACAATATATATTTATACAATATAATGTATATACAATATACAATGTATATATATAATATATACAAAGCATACAATTATACAGAAATATACAAAATAAGTATATAGAAATCTGCTGCATTTCTATACACTAATAATGAACTATCAGAAAGAGAAATTAAGAAAACAATCCCATTTACAATTACATCAAACATGATAAATCACCTAGAAATAAATTTATCCAAGAAGGTAAAAGACCCATGGGCTTCCCAGAGGGTGCAATGGTAAAGAATCTGGCTATCAATGCAGGATGTGCAGGAGATGCAAGAGATGCAGGTTCGATCCCTGCGTCAGGAAGATCCCCTGGAGTAGGAAATGGCAACCCACTCCAGTATTCTTGCCTGGGAAATCCCATGGACAGAGGAGCCTGGCAGGCTACAGTTCATGGGGTCGCAAAGAGTCGGACATGACTGAGCACACAAAAGACCTGTACACCGAAAACTAAGACACTGATGAGAGAAACTGAAGACGACACAGATTAATGAAAAGATATTCTGTACTCAATGGATTGGAAGAATATTGCTAAAATGTCCATACTATCCAAAACAATCTAGATTCAATGCAATTCCTATCAAAATCCCAATACCATTTTTCAAAGAAACAGAACATATAATCCTAAGATTTGTATAAAACCAGAAAAGACCCCAAACAGCCAGTGCAGTCTTGAGAAAGAACAAAGATGGAGGTACCACATGCCTTATTTCCAAGCATTAACATATTACAAATCTATAGTATTCAAAATAATATGATATTGACACAAAGCAGACACACAGATGAACGGAACAGAATAGGGAGCACAGAAACACACCCACACAGAGATGATCAATTAATTCACAACTGAGGAGCCAAGAATATACAGTGGGGAAAAGACGGTTTCTTCAAAAAGTGCTGTTGGGAAAACTGGACAGCTACATGCAAAAGAAGGAAGCTGGACCACTATCTTACACCATTTTTCCAAAAAAGACATATAGCTGGGTCAACAGATACGTGGAAACTTGCTCAAATCACTGATCATCAGGGCAATGAAAATAAAAACCACAATGAGATAGTATCTCACATCTGTCAGAATGGCTATCATCAAAAAGAGGACAAGGACTTCCCTAGTGGTCCAGAGGTTAAGACTTTGTGCTTCCAATGCAGGGAGCATGGGTTCTATCCCTGACTGGGGAACTAAGAGCCCACATGCTGCATAGTGCAGCCAAAATATAAAAATTAAAAAAATAAAACGAAAAACAGAAAAACTGAAAAAAAGTTTTTAGAAGAGAGACAGAATAACAAGTATCAATGAGGATGTGGAGAAAAGGGAAACTTGAGCACTGTTAGTGGCAATGTAAATTGGTGCAGCCACTATGGAAAACAGTATATTAGTATATAGGTTCCTCAGAAAATTAAAAAAAGAACCACCATATTATCTAGCAGTTCCACTTCAAGGTATTTATCTAAAGAAAACAAAAACCTTAACTTAAAAAGATATACTCACCCCATGTTCACTGCAGGATTATTTATAATAATCAAGATATGGAAACACCCACGTATCTGTTGACAGATGAAAGGACACACACACACATACATAAACACAGTGGAATATCACTCAGCCATAAAAAAGAATATCTTGCCACTTGTGCTGACAACATGGATGGACTCTGAGGGCATTACACTAAAAGAGAAATATGTCAGACAGAGAGAGACAAATACCATACAATCTCACATGCGCAAACAAACAAAAAACACCCAAGCTTATAGATACAGAGAACAGAATGTTTTAAAATGAGACAGCCACATGACCAATGTGCTTGGCCAATCAGTCATTCCTGCTCAGGATCTGGAACAAGTGAGATAAAGAGATGCTGGAGAATCCATTCTGGTGGTGGCAGCAACATCTAACTAAGAGATTAGCCTATGAAGCCTTCTCTGATCATCCCAGGCAAAATAAATCCCCCTTTGACAGCTTTGTTTAGACACCTAAGGTATCCACTCAGAGTTCTCATTCACATCTAAATCATTAACTTCCTGAATTCCTGGGAATAAGACTGCCCGCTCCTTGGAAGGAAAGTTATGACCAATCTAGACAGCATATTAAAAAGCAGAAATATTATTGTGCCAACAAAGGTCCATCTCGTCAGGCTATGGTTTTTCCAGTAGTCATGTATGGATGTGAGAGCTGGACTATAAAGAGCTGAGCACTGAAGAATTGATGCTTTTGAACTGTGGTGTTGGAGAAGACTCTTGTTTTCTTGGACTGCAAGGAGATCCAACCAGTCCATCTTAAAGGAGATTAGTCCTGAGTGCTCACTGGAAGGACTGATGTTGAAGCTGAAACTCCAATACTTTTACCACCGGATGCAAAGCACTGACTCATTGAAAAAGACCCTGATGCTGGGAAAGATTGAAGGCGGGAGGAAAAGGGGACGACAGAGGATGAGATGGTTGGATGGCATCACCAACTCAATGGACATGAGCTTGGGTAAACTCCGGGAGTTGGTGATAGACAGGGAGGCCTGGCGTGCTGCCTGGCATGCTGCTCCACAGGGTCACAAAGAGTCGGATACTACTGAGCAAGTGAACTGAACTGAAGACTGGTTATAGTTTTAATCTACTCATATCAACATTTTTCTGCTGACTGTTCTTTACCCATCCCTTGTTTTTCCTACTCCCTTCCTCTCCTTCCTGTAATACCTCTGTAGAGATCCTATAATTGTTTTTTTTTTTTTTAAAAAAAAACTTCACTTTTAAATTAGATAAGTAATTCTGAAATTACTGCTGCAAAAGATTCATATTTCTCATATTGGAGGATCGCAGCAGTGTTCCAAGTTACTAATACCTTGGATTCTCCCTGCTTCATAATGAGGTTCTTCATTTATAAGTTGTTTAACCCTTACTTTTCCCTGTGAAAAGAAGTAGGTAGCACCACAGTACACACAATTTAGTCTCTCCTCTACCCTGCTCACCAAGGGTCTTCCTAAAAGATGGCATATCTATACCCTTTCATTCTTATCTCTGCCTTCCTTGCTATTCCTCAGTCCAGAGAAGCATGTTTCCATTGTTCCAAAAGAAAGGAATGATGTTGTCCCTGTGGGAGTATAAGATTTATAGCCTCAGAATTCTCCTTTTAGAGCCTGTCCACACCCTGATATTTGATCACTTTCCCCCATTCTATTAGGGTCTGAAGTTTTAAGTGTTTTTAAATTTTGTTAAAGATGAAGTTGTATTTGTTCCTCATGCTCTTTACTGTTTTGAGTTGATTTCCAAGAGTAAAGAAGACAGACATGTCTTTATTATGCCACTGGACTTCCCAAGTGGCGCAAATGGTAAAGAACTCACCAGACAATGCAGGAGACAAAAGAGACACAGGTTTGATCCCTAGGTTGGAAAGATCCTCTGGAGAAGGAAACGGCAACCCACTCCAGTATTCTTGCCTGGAGAATCCCATGGACAGAGGAGACAGCCCATGGGGTCACAAAGAGTTGGACACAACTAAAGCGACTTAGAAGCAGCATTATGCCACTAATTATTTTTAATGTTTTTCTGCAATCTAACGTTTTAGAGATTAATTTTCTAGTATATTACAATATAATATCTTCCTCATTGTATTGCTGTTGTTCAGTCTGTCTGACTCCTTGAGACCCCATGGACTGCAGCACGCCAGGCTTCACTGTCCTTTACCACGTCCTGGAGCTTGCTCAAGCTCATGTCCATTGAGCTGATGATGCCATCCAACCATCTCATCTTCTGTCATCCCCTTCTCCTTCTGCCTTCAGTCTTTCCCAGCATCAGGGTCTTTTCTAATGAGTTAGCTCTTCGCATCAGGTGGCCAAAATACTGGAGTTTCAGCTTCAGCATCAGTCCTTCCAATGAATATTCAGGACTGATTTCCTTCAGGATGGACTGGTTTGATCTCCTTGCAGTCCAAGGGACTCTCAAGAGTCTTCTCCAACACCACAGTTCAAAAGCATCAATTCTGCGATTCCAGGCGTGTGAGTAGAAGAGGATGATGTCAGCAGGGATTACATGCACAATATTAACTTCTTAGGGACAGAGAGGTCACTGGTTCACATAGGTATTTGTTAGAAACAACTTTCGGAGTGTTCTTTAGAGGCGTGATAAAAACAAACTGACCACTTCTCATTTCAAAAATTATTTAGTATATGTAAACTATTATTCAAATTTTGTTCATCACTAGTAGTTCATGAAAGTGTTAATAAAATTTCAAAATGAAGAAGTTTGCTCTTACCTGGATCTGATTCCGAAGCTGCTCGGCTTCCTGCCTCAGCTGTTCCAGCTCGCTCATCCTCGAATTTCCTCACGGCAGAAACTAACCAATGAAAAGCCCTGTACACAAGAGAAAGAGAAAGACTGATTCACTTCTCCATTTACCTATTAATCTACTTTTTAAATACTGACATATAATTGGTCCTTCTGAATCTCAAATGCAAACATTATTACTAGAACTTAAAATGGCTTAGTAAATACAGATCTAGATTATTTACTAAAGGATTTTACGGAGGAATGGGATGAGAGGATGGAAGAGATACCTTGAGTGGTAGTATTCAAGACAAAATTATAGACAGTACTACAGTGAGAAATACTTTACAACAGTTCCAAAGGTACCAAGAGACATTCAGACCTAGATGCCTAAAAGGCACCTCAACTTACTTCAAAAGCACACCCCACACCATCCTGAAGTCTTTCTCATTTCTGTAAATGGCAATTCTGTCCTTTCAATTGTTTAAGCCAAAAACCTGGGAGTCATCTTTAACTTCTCTGTTCTGTTTCCTTTCTATCCTACCTCTAATCCACCAGCAAATCAGGTCAGGCATTCCTTCAAAAGACATCCAGGATTTGACCAACTCTGATCACCCCTACTCTGACTACCTTGGTGGAAGTCACCACTATCATTCCCCGGGTCTCCTTCCTATCTCCCTCGCCCACTCTCCAATCTATTCTAAACATAGCAACCAGTGATCCTTTGAAAATACAAGTCACTCTTCTGCTTGAAATGCTACAATAGCTTTTCACTCCACTCAGCGCACAGTCTGTTTACCTTGACCTACAAAGCTGTATGCGTCCCTGCTGGCTCAGCAGTAGAGAATCTGCCTGCAACGCAGGGGATGCAAGCTCAATCCCTGGGTCAGAAAGATTCCCTGGAGAAGGAAATGGCAACCTGCTCCAGTGTCCTTGCTTGGGAAATCCAATGGACAGAACAGCCCGGTGGGAGACAGTCCATGGGGTCACAAAGAGTTGGACACAACTTAGCAACTAAACAACATCATCAATGCAGAGTCTTACACAATCTGTTATACATCCCTCTAACATCATACCTCTGCTCCCTCTCCCCCACCCCTGGTCCAGACACTCAAAAGCCTTCTTAATATTAGAAAGCTTTCTTAGTGAACACACTAAGCAGGCTCCAGCTTCAGTCTCAGCACTTGCTCTTACCTCTGCCTGGAAGCCTCTTGCCCCTGATATTTTCATTCCTTGCGCCTTTATCTCGATTCAAATGTTCCTTCTCAAAACAACCTTCACTGATAGCACATATGCATCCAACTGGACCCCTTTACCCCTTGTGTACATATAAGATGTACAACGTGCTGATTTGATATTGTTATATTTGCAACATGATCACCACCAAAGCATTCACACCTTTCTCACATCACATAATTACCATTTCTATTTTATGGAGAGAATATTTAAGATCTAGTCTCTCAGCAGCTTTAAAGTACATGACAGAGCATGGCTGACTGCAATCACTATGAACTTTCTCATCTTCGAGTTTCAAGTTGCACTTTCCTTCTCACTCAGGCTAGATTCCAGGTCCAGCACTTCATGGACAACTCTGCCAGCACCCTAGTTTCCCCTGCCCTTCTACTAGGTCACATTCAACAGACAAAAGTCACACCTTCGACAAACCCAACACCCTACTTTCTTTCAGCCAGCGCTCAAACTACCAAACACTGACTGTAAAGTCAAATGGGGGAGGGCACATCCTGTAGTTCTACTACAAGTTCATATAAGCAAGCTAGCTATTTAGCTGGCTACTCTATGCAGCTTTTTACCCATCGCGTCTGCTCAGTATCAATGATTCTCATAACAGAAGGAAAGAAGGAGCTTCTTTAATAGTTAACAGAAGAAGGAGTTTCCTTCCTTAAGAGAAGGAGCTTTCATAATAAAAGGTCCTCCTCATGATAGAGGAGCTGAGTTTTCTGTCATCTGGGTCAATTCTTTCCACTGAGATTTAAATCCTATCTATCCCTATCTTTTTAGTAACCTTACACTTCTGATTATCCCTTTTCACCTAGTTCATGAACCTCTTACTTTTCTCAATTGCTTTTGTCTTTTTATTTAGAAAAAATTCAAACACAGAAAGAGGTAGAGAAATTTGTATAATAGACATCCATAATGTCCACCATGAAGGTTTACATATTGTTAATATTGTTACTGTATTTGTTCCAACTTTTGTTCCTTTTGCTGAAGCATTTTAAAGTCAAACACAGACATCAATGGATAAGGAAAATATGCTGCATATATATAATGGAATATTACTCAGCCAAAAAAAGAATAAAGCAATGCCATTTGCAGCAACATGGATGGACCCAGAGATGGTCATACTAAGTGAAATAAGTCAGACAGAGAAAGACAAATACCATAAGATATCACTTACATATGGAATCTAAAATATGACACAAATGAACTTATCTATTAATACAAAGCAAAAACAGACTTTCAGACAAGGAGAACAGACTTGTGGCTGACAAACGGGAGAGGGGTGGGTAGGATGGATTGGGAGTTAGGGATTAGCAGACACAAACTATATATGGATAAACAAGGTCCTACTATATAGCATAGGGAACTATATTCAATACCCTGTGATAAACTATAATGGGAAAGAATATGAAAAACAACATATACATGTGTGTATAACTGAATCACTGTGCTATACAGCAGAAAGTAACACATTATAAATCAAATATAAATAAATTTTTATACTTCCTTAAATTAAAAAAAAAAGACATCAAGCTACTTTAAAATATTTCAGTACACATTTCCAAAAATATCGAGACATTTTCCTAATAAACCCCAATACCATTAACAAACCTCCCATATTCACAACTATCTAGTAGCTAATACCCAGTTCATTTTCAAATTTCCCCCATTATCACCCAATGTCTTTGATATCAGAGTTGTTCAAATCAAGATCCAACTAAGGACTCTACAATACATTTAGTAATATCTCTTAAACCTCTCCATCTAGAAGAACCCATCTCCTGCTTTCTTTTTTCTCTATGAAAATAGAGTTATTGGAGAGACCTACCCTGTAGAACATCTCACATTCTGTTTACTTCTTCATGGTATCGCTTCTCTATCCTCTGTAATATCTATGAATTGGAAGGAAGTTAGATCTACAGGCTAGATGATATTCAAGCTCAATGTATTTGGCAAGAATACTCTTAGGTGAGACTAGACATCATATTACAAAACATTGGAATTAACTTAATGTTTATGTCACTATTAGTGAAGCTAAGATTTAGCAGTGTATTCAGGTATTGAAAGCTAGTGTGTCTACTGTAAAGTTACACATCTTCATTTCATTCAACAAACAACCTGTGGGGAGCATTTCACTTTCAACTGCATCCTTTTCATTAGACACACTCAAGTCTCTCCCTTTAAGAAAAAAAAGAAAAAACTCCCTGATTCTATGTTTTACCACCACTTACAGACCTTTATCTATACTTAAGGAACTTTCAAACAGACTTGTCTTTACCTGACTCTATGGCCTCATACGGAATTCTGAATTCTCAAGTCTCATGCCCAATGACTTCAGCTAAGTTTAAGCATAATAGAAAACTTCATATTCTACTTAACAGAAAACTTAAACTTCAGCTAAGTTTAAGCATAAGTTTAAGGCATAACAGAAAATAAGGGGGGAATTATAAGGCAATGGACTTTCTGAGAAAATTTCCAAACAGCAAAATCAGAACCCTTGTGATACGTGTGCCCCGTGAAGGGTAGCAAAATATGCCACCCCATAATATGCCTCTTGGGCAAGAGGATTAAAACAAGAGCCGAAGTTACCCCCTTTGAAATGGAAAGCAACATCTATGAAGGGAATCTCCAGTTTTAAGGGTACTTCTTGGTGCCATAAGTGAAGGATGACTCCAAATGACAAAAGTCTTACCACTGGAGAAGGCAAGGTCTTAAATCTGTACATCAAACCTTACCCTTGCTTTACCTAGGAACCTCTCAAGACTGGTTTCCACCCCTAACCTCCCAAACTTCCTTCTGTCTTTGGCTGAAGACGGTATTTAAGCTGGTGGCTTGGGTACCTCAGTGAGTTACTCATTTTTTCCTGGGTATCTCACATTAGACTTCTATGGTTTCCTCCTGTTCATCTTTTATTACACACAGGCCCTCTCAGCCAAGAGCTCAGAAGGGCAGAGTGAAAATTATTTTTCTTCTGCTAAAGGACAACCACAAACTTTTCATGTCTGAGAAATATCACAGCAGCCTTCCTTGCCTTTCAAGCCTGTTGCTAGAAACAAGAACTAACTTTTCGCTCTTTAATGAAAACTTATAAGTGTTACCTGAAAACCGGGTTCAACTCCTGGTAGGTGTTGCACCAAAAGACACAACCACCTTAAAAACTGGAAGGATGGATTTACTACTTAGAGCAGGTAAGGAGAGCGCAGGGGATCTTCCCCGAAGTAGTTATCTCCCCAGCAGCAAAACTAAGGCAGTTTTAAGCTAAGGGTTCATGCAGATTCATGAAGGGGCCTGGATGGTCTACAGAGACTAAACTTTAGTTGACTAAAGTCACAAGGTTCAGAAAAAGGTCAACATCATCATTCCTTAGGTTCCAGTTGATCTCGAGCCCTTCGGGCTAATCTTCACCACAGAAACAAAACTGGAAGTCCTTACAACTGATATATTATCTTGCTATCGCTACTTCTCCTGCCTGACATTCTTTCCTTCCCTTGGTTTAGTCACTAAGTGTCTGACTCTTGTGACCCCATGGACTACACAGTCCTCCAGGCTTCTCTGTCCATGGAACGCTCCAGGCAAAAATACCGGAGTGGGTTGCCATTTTCCTTCGCCATTTGTTCCCCCAGATCATCAATTACTGGGACCTGTTCAGGCGCAAGCACTGTTGCCAGGTTTAGAGCACAGAATGGCTTAGATCAAAGTGGATTCTCTTCTGTTAAGAATGTCGTGCCTGATTCTGTTTCTCGGAGAGCCCCAACCTGATCCATTTATATTAGTTCTGTCACTAAAGAGGGAGAATAATTTGATTAAACAGACTTTCTGTTGATGTTTTCTTCTTACCTGACAACTGC